CACTCCAGGACAGTGAAGTGAGTGTGTTTCTGTGTTTTTAACAGCGGCTGTCTCATTGGAGAATTACTTTGATCAGCGAGTCCAAATGCCTCCATAATTCCACGAGACAAGAGGAAGACGGTGTCGTTTTCTGAAAAAAAGAGAAATGCACCAGTCCCAGTTTTGGATGTTGTAGTGCGCTCTTCAGTGAGAGGCCAAGAAGTTTGGCTGAAGATGATCCTTGAGAACAGGCTCCGGCCCCCTCATGCTGAAAATCTTTCAGGAGGGATAACAACTCTGAACAAAACAAGGAGCGTATGCTGATCCCGAGTCCTACCTAGAATTTAAATCTAAGAGCTTTTTGCTGAACCCTACAATGAATGTAGATCGCTGTGCTCTGCAACTCAGTGATTAATGTAATTGTTGTTATACATCTGTCATACATCCAGGCTGGTCTCAGTGCTAACAGAACCAGAGCCACTGACTGTAGGGGACTCAAGTGAAGCAGCCAGGTCAGACTCAAGTCCAATTTACCTCCACAGACCAAAATCTCCCTCTACTGTACATGGAATGTGTCGGAGACCTAGCACCTACCTTTATACTTGTTTTCTTTGACCCTGGACAGTAAGGAATCTGCCGCAGAGCCTATTATAGAATCAGGTGCTTTGTTGATCATGCATACTTGATGCTTGTGATCATGGCTACTAAGGTGTATTTACACTCTTCCAGCACCATTTTCACTGCTATTAGAACAATAGCACACCTACCTCTATGTCAATGTAGCAGTAATCGAACATGACGTTTGTGTTCTGGTACCATCTCAAAATGCACAAGGACATCGTGAGGATGATATGCTGTCTGTTCAGTCTGTCTCGGGGAACATCATTAATAAATGTTTGGAAAACTGATGGAGCATTAGCCAAATCAAAGGGCATAACTAAATACTGACAGCAGCCAGTGGCTGTTTGGAAGGCGGTCTCCCACTTATGGGTTCGAAGGCGGCGCGGACATGCAGCCGATGAGGAGCAGGGCTGCGGGTCTCTTTCTGATCTGGACTTTGATGCGTCTCTGACCCGTGACATCTCTGCATTTGTGGTGCCAAATGAACAAGAAAAACTCTTCTCTCTACCCTTTTCTCAATGAAAGCATGAGTTGTGAGACTACAGCCAGAAGAGTGCTATGCTGACCACAGGAGTATAGGTGACACATGGTCTCCTGATGGAACATCGTGTTTAAAAGGCCAGCTGCTGGTAAAAACAATGTTGTTTGGTATAGTGCGAGATCCTAAGATAAACTGCATAAATCTATTCAGTAATCACATTTTGACAGTATAAGATTCATGGTCTTATAGCCAGTGATATACTGTACTTGTTTTTTAAAATGTGGCACCTTGGTGTCACCAAAATGGTCTTAATTTGGCATTAATTGGCATCTTAATTGGCATTAATTGGCATCTTAATTGGCATTATTGCAGAGCCCAAGACTGACCTCAGGTAACTGGCAGTTAATGTAAGTGATATTTAACAACATGTATAAAACTGAAACAAAAATAAAAAATCATAAATTCAAATAACAAATGAGATATTTTAGATATTACTTAGCAGACATTTAATTGGCTGTGATTTATGCATTCTCTGATGAGTTTGCGGTTTATTGGTTCAGAAGTTCCCTGTCCCTGTTGTATGTGTTCTCCAAGCCAATCATGATAATGTTATCCTTGCTCAGTCACAGTGCAGGGCGTTTGTGAGGAATTTAACCAAAACAGGTGAGGAGAAAAGCAGAAAATCATTTGTGAAAAACAGAATATATGATTGATCTAATACAATAAAAAAAATTGTATTTTCACATGCATCATTTAATATCACCAGAAGGCATTTGTCTTTCGCTATATGTAAATATTTCAGATTCCATGGAGACAATATTGAGCAAAAGCAAGTGATTTGTCAGCACTGCTTTGTGTCTGTTGGCGCAGCACGTGGCAACAAGTGTAAAGAATCTGATTATCTGCTGTTGTTAATTTTATATGTACATTTAATTTGTCATGGTTGTCGTTAAAAATGTTCCTGAAATATGTGTTCTGGGAGAGCAGTCTTTAAATATTTAACTGAGACAGAATTCTCAGTGTACCAATACAGACTTTACATTTAAATTTACATCTTCACTTTACATATTTAGCATATTGTCCAAAGTGGCGTACAAATGAGTCAAATAGCATATTGAATTTTTTTTTTTTCAAGTTAACCTGACTTGCTTTTGCTAGTAAACAAAGACTCTGTTGGCAGATTATAACAAGTTCTATCTTGCTATAGTTTATTGCCTGTAAATTTTCAACTCAGCAAGAGTAATAACTCATTTCATATGGAAATAAATACATATTTTGATCCATTTTCTTTATGCATTTCTCCGTGTGTGTGCTGAGGGAGGGGCGGGGGTTGCGGTTAATAGATCATGATTCTAATAATTCCTGGCAGAATCGAACAGGCAATTGTGCCTGGAATGGCCACCCCTCATCCACACAGGCAGGTCCAGGCCGTTAGCATTGGCATTAGCCTGCAGGTGGCGCTGCCAAACAGCACCTGAAGGCCCCCCCGGCCCCGCGAAAGGCAGCCGAGCCGAGTGTGTGGTGGGAGAGCCCCTCCTGGCGGCTCCTCCCAGGATCTTGCAGCACTGCCTCTGTTCCCCTCAGACACTCAGAGCACCTGACCACTTCCCTCACTAGACAATAAACAAAGAAATTTTCTCCTTTCCGATTCCTAGATGGTGATTTCAACGTCAAATTTCCACATGAAATCACAGTCCCACAGAGCATATTATGCTGTGCTGTTGCAGATGAATTTATGCATGTATTTATATCCAATACTGTGCAAAAGTCTCAGGCAGTCAAAGGAAATAATGTTTAAACGATCTTCGTGTTGGTGTAAACTTTTATGTGTGTAAAAGTATGTCAATTTAGCCATTTCAAAACTGACGCTGGGGTGCCCCCAAGGAGAGGTTTGGGAACAGAAGTGGGGGTGTCCTAGCCATCAAACAATATATCAGTAACTTTTTGGAGAACAGAAAGAAATTACTATTATTACTGTTAATTTGCATATATTATGCCTGACTGTGTATTCATTTACTGCCCAGATAAGTAGCCTTAAAAATTTCCTTTGACTGCCTAAGATTTTCGCTCAGTAACTGTATTTCTTTGAACTATTTTTCTTTTTTTTGTCCATCTACAGACAAGGTGAACAATGCAAATAAGTTCATGTCAATACCTTGTGGAAAATCAGTAGTAAAAAAGGAAAACACGATTGATCAAATATGATAAAACATTTTAGTATTTTCACATTCATCATTTAATATCTTTGATCATTTGTTGTCACCACATTTGTGACCCGCTGGGCCGGCTACTTTGAGCAGTTGTTCAAAGCGGACCCTCCAGCTAGGACGTTGGACATCTCTGAGTCCATGGATCTCGAAGCTGATCCTCCGATCAGCTGTGAACCACCCAACCTCACTGAGATTGCACGGGTGGTGAACCAGCTGGGGGCAGGGAAGGCCACAGGGATCTGTGGTATCTGGGGTGAACTTCTCCAGGCTGGTGGTAAGACTGCCCTCCTGGCAATGCAGGCAATCTTTGCTTCCATTTTGGAGTCAGGAGCCGTCCCAACTGACTGGGAAACGGGACTTGTAGTCCCTGTCTGGAAAGGGAAGGGTGATCGCCTGGATTGTGGCAACTACAGGAGATAAGACTGCTCTAAGTGGCGGGTAAGGTCCTTGCTAGGGTCGTCCTTCTCAGGAACCCTGATCACTTGGCGCGTTTCCCTGAGCGTGATCCGGTTCGCAGGATCCTCGTTTCTGAAGCTGAGGGGACGCCCATATAACACCTGCCTACCGCAGATGGATGGCCATTTCCGGAGGGTGGGACTGGACCGTATGTTTCCCTGGGGGGTCGCCAGTCAGGATCCGAGGAGTTTCGCCATGTGCTGGGTGCGGCAACATGCTGCATCCCCACATGCTCCTAAACTTGACCTGACCTGTGTTGTATTCTTTGAGATATGTAAAGCAGCACTCTATTCATAAATCTGTGAGTAGTCCTTGTGCTCTGTCTGTGTGACATTCCATTATGTTTACTTAGTGATTTTTTTATATTGTTACTCAGCTTAATTACAAAGAACACGTTAATACTCCGATTCTAACAGTGATAGCACAGAGAACCGTATCTTGCGGCGCAGCTCCGGACCACAGAAAAGTAAAATTGTTTTGCAGAGGCTATTCACACTTTTGCCACAAGATGACGCGATATACTCGTGAATCTTCAAAGTACGAGGATAATAGCCGTAATACATGCTTTTGCCGAACGGTGGCGGCAGTAAATCATACTTTTCACTGGGCTATAAGATGTTTTCTTTAACAATGAAGAAATGCGTAGCCTTGGCATATCATCAGTGATATCAACACCCTCAACGATGTCATTATTTAATGTGCGATGATAGGACCCCATGAAAAAGCGTTTATACATGTAGGTGTGTTAAGCAAAGTACTAGTTAACGTATTAACCATTTAAACGGCAGAGAGATGGAGAGAGGGATGCCGAGAGACAGAGTGATGGGAAGAGAGAGAAATGGTTAATGAGGGAGAGAGAATGACGGAGAGAGACAGAGAGAGAAAGAGGGAGCGTCTCGGCAGTATGAAGCATTTATCTAGCAGATCGCCGAAAATGCAGCTCCCGGCGCTATCCGTGGTGCTGCTGTTACAGGGTCTGAGTGCGATCCATTGTCTATTAATAACATCTAAATCAATTTTATGAATTCTACGCCAATAAAGTAAAGTCACAGCTTATTATCGTCCCTAACAGTGTTAGCAGCAGAGGCCGGGTGAGATAACGCTATTTATTCACTATTTGTCCGTAATAAAGAACAATTTGTCTCCCTAACCTGTTTGCTGTATCTGTCAATAATGAATAATTGACGGACCGCTAGTCAGTATGTATATGTATTCTGCGCGCAAGTCGGATTAAGGCTGTTAAGATCGCACTATATTCCATACAATCGCTTCTCTCGGTGTCTTCCTTTGTCCACCGCATTGGTATTGTATGTTTTATAGCCCAGGGGGCTCGCGCATCGCTCGTCGCGGATGATGGTATGGAGTTCCGGCGACGATCCCCGGTGGATGCGGGGTTGGGGTTACGGCAGCGGTCCCATAGTGCCGGTACAGCTCCGCCTTCAGGCGGCGTCACGGGCGCGTCTGCATCGGGCTGGACCGGCATCCCATAACCTGAGCCCACAACATCAGACAGACAGCGCCGGAGAGACCCTGCGTATCAGACCCGCGTAAAAAGCCCATCAGAGAGCGGAACAGCAGCTAAGCACCAGGAAGCATGTCGGTGGCGGGACTGAAGAAGCAGTTTCACAAAGCCACTCAGGTAGGAGCTCGTGTCACCGTTACCGCGATTAATCACCACCAGAAAGAGACACCTTCCGTCTTTTGCGTCTTAAATAGCATACACCGGCTGCGCTTTTCCACGTCTGCTGTACCGGCTGTTCCTTCAGATGGTTTATTGTATCACACCGGCGTGAAAAGCTATTGCACGGATAATTCAATCGGATCAGATGTCCCAGCTAATTAATACAATGCAGGATTGTTGTTTCGGTCTAAGGGAGAGATATCCTTTAACATTGTTTGGCATGTGTGCTTGGTGTGGCATTCATGTTTATTTTGTTCATATCACGCTTCAGAAGTACTGGTGTTTAGGCGCGATAGACGGATTTTTCGTCGGATTTTTTGCATCGTGATATTCATATTATCGAAAGACACACACGGATACACAAAACACACACACAGACAGGCGCGCGCGCGCACACACACACACACAGACAGGCGCGCGCACACATGCACACACACACATACACGCACATGTAGACACACACACAGACAGGCGCGCGCGCACACACACGCACACACACACAGGCACACGCGCACACACACGCATAGTCACACACACAGACAGGCGCGCACACACACGGGTACACGCAGGCACAGACACACAGGCGCGCGCATGCATACAAACAGACACACACGCGCACACACACGGTAATTGCCAACTTACATAATCGTATGAGAAAGTAGCGATGGGTTGGTGAAAATTACACAGGCTTAAAAAAATCAGGAAGGCGTTGTATTTCTGTCATTTGCAACATAAAGTGACGTAAATCCAGCGGCCTATTATTGTGGATTAAACTACAGCAAATTGTAATTTGACAGAAAATCTGCAAGCATTTAATAACAGGGAACAGATTACATATAAAACTATACTCTGAGTGAAAGCCTGACGAATAAAAAAATCATTTGTGGTTATCCATTGCGTCAGTAATATTTTATGGAAACGTTCAAATATAAATGTAGATTGTATAGTGTACAAACTCTACTTTGATTTCAAACTAAAACGGTAATTGTGATTTAATCAAACATTGAAAATAATAGCACTGCATTAATTTAATCCAAAAGAAAGATGGCCTGAACCTCTACTACAGACACGAGTAGAATTTCATAGCAATAGATGCACAGGGTCACATTAATTCTCTCTGTATCCATCTCTGTGTTAATGCAGGGGTTACATTACCAACAATACTATTTATAATATGTGGAATTCTGCCACATTAAATTGATCCCCAGCCCTTTCAGTAGCTATTAAATTGAACTATCTTGGTTTGTTATGACCTCAGGAGCAAGACAGGGACAGACTTCAGCACATATGGATTCAAATCAGACAGAGGTCTTAATATTTTAGCCCAAAATTTGTGCACATACCAGGGAATCATCATTTAATTGCGCAAATATCAGTCTGCTAGAGCTTGTAGCTGGCATGGGCTATTGGGGAGTTAGTGGCTGGGATGGGCTACCAGCGAGTTAGCGGCTGGTGTGGGCTACCAGCGAGGTAGTGGCTGGTGTGGGCTACCATCGAGTTAGTGGCTGGGATGGGCCATCAGGGAGTTAGCATTTGGGATGGGTCATCAGGGAGTTAGTAAATTGGATGGGCCATCAGGGAGTTTGTAGCTGAGATGAGCTATCAGGGAGTTAATAGCTGGGATGAGCTATCATGGAGTTAGTAGCTGGGATGAGCTATCAGGGAGTTAGTAGAATGGATGGGCCATCAGGGAGTTAGTAGAATGGATGGGCCATCAGGGAGTTAGTAGATTGGATGGGCCATCAGGGAGTTAGTAGCTGGGATGGGCCATCAGGGAGTTAGTAGATTGGATGGGCCATCAGGGAGTTAGCGGCTGTGATGGGCCATCAGGGAGTTAGTAGCTGGGATGGGCCATCAGGGAGTTAGTAGCTGAGATGAGCTATCAGGGAGTTAGTAACTGGGATGAGCTATTAGGGAGTCAGTAGGTCATTGAGTCTTCAAATCTATACTTATGCAATCAAGTAAACACACAGTCTCTGTTACACTAAGAAAAATACGAGCCCAGGGAGGGCAGAGGGATGGGATGGATTGCATTGCAACCTTCCAGTCATTTTCATGCCCTCAGTATCCCAAATAATTTTATTACGTCAGTTAGGTCACAGTGTGTCCCTTAAAAACAAACTCCTTGTTCCAGCACTTTGATGTCCCACCAATGAAGATCTTCAGAAATGCATTTATAGTTCAGTATGGACGTCACCATAATAGAGTTACTGTGGCCTGTGCCCTCAGCCTGCCTCAGTGTGCTGGCCCACACTCCCAACCCTCTCAGTAAACAGCAAAAGTGATCTCTATCCGTGAATGTCAATCAAGCCAAAGGAATATGTGTTTTCTTTAGATAAGTCTGAAGATCTTCACTCCAGATGCCAGTGGAGTACTCTTACTGTTTTTCATTTGAGCCGGGATTCCTCGCTTGTGTTCTCAGTGTTATCGGAAAGTAGGCTTTGCCCACTGTCTTTCTCCCTTTACTGTAAGATGCTGTGACAAGATGCAGTTTAAGCAAAATCCTCAAAACTCCCTAGTAATTATAGTATACACTTAATCCCCAGCAAACCCATTTAAACATTTTTTCATACTCAAGTGTTTGTATGAAAACAGACTACGTAATAAAACCCTCACATTTGTTAAATAGGTGAAGTCATTGAATTCCACATAAGCACTCAATTCACTGAATCCTGCATACTTCCTGAATTCACCGATCCAACATAAGCTCTGCATCCAGTCAATGAATCCAGAAAAATCACTTACATGATATAAATATTTCATCCTACCATCCTCTCTTATGTTCACTTTTGGAAATGTATATCTTTTCACACCGGTGTTAAGTACCAGTTGGTGTAAAATCTCTTGGCTGTGACCTGTGATTGATTGTTGGTTTTGTGCCCTGTGGCCAGAAGTGTAGCATCACTTCATCACTTTGGACACAGGCAGCAGTATGAGGCCACAGTTACTGTCGGGCTGTCTATGGAGCTAGCAGGTTTGTGGTAATAAACAAAAATTATATATGGAAAAAAGTGGATAGGTTGTGGTACTGTGGCCCCGGGCCCCTGGTTCAGCAAAGGCAGGAAGTCTGTTTTACAGAGCCCAGAGTTATACACCCCTGTTTTACAGAGCCCAGAGTTATACACCTCTGTTTTACAGAGCCCAGAGTTATACACCCCTGTTTTACAGAGTCCAGAGTTATACACCCCTGTTTTACAGAGCCCAGAGTTATACACCTCTGTTTTACAGAGCCCAGAGTTATACACCCCTGTTTTACAGAGCCCAGAGTTATACACCCCTGTTTTACAGAGCCCAGAGTTATACACCCCTGTTTTACAGAGCCCAGAGTT